CCGAATTTATATAGCGTCATCCAACTGTCTGAAAAGGTCTGATACTTGTGAAATATTTGGTTTATACCCAAAAAGGTTGCCGGTTGGATTAGAATTCGAACAACGAATCTGGAGCCTAGATTGCGCTACATAATGGGTTGGATGTAGAAGTAAAATAGGCGGCGTACAAGGAGCAATGTTAAGACCTGGAGCTTCAGTATCCCTTAGACCACAGCTCGAATCCGTGCATTCAGCTCCATTAAGAAGCCGGTTTACCAAGGATGTCGTAACGAAGGCTAGTTGAATTTTTCACAATTTATTGTCACAAGTTCGATTATCAGTAGCTCATCCAAGTTTTTCCAATAGTCTCAAAAACTTTTTACTTTGTGAACACTACCATATTCCGAGGAAGTAGGTTTTCGAGACTACCCGTATACCTTGAATAAGTGCCCTATTCACTTTCGGCTGCATAAGCTGACGAATGGCTGATGGTTGAATCTTTCCCAAAATGACGGCCTGGGGTAACTGCGATTAAGACTAATGTTTGACTATTCGGGCGACCCAGACCTGGACGATTTTCGCTACACACCCTCATTAAAATCATCAAGATATGTGATTCGTGTAGGGCTTTCGGTTACCTTTGTCGTTGAGTTATCTCCATCCTAAGTTAGTCGTTGCTAACGGCTTGGTTTTAGGTCGCTTCCTCAGGTTAATATGTACATCTGCCAATCTGCACTCTCTCTTCCTTGGCATCCTGTTCCTACCAGTTGTGACTCTACTGTAGGCGGGAAATTCAATACACTGGCCGACCCTTAGATTGTAGCTGAATGTTAGTTTGACTCTGGTTATAGAAGAGGGTAGAGAATAGTAATTTATATTCATTTTATTTAACTTTTATCTCGTTCAAAAATTTCGACGAAAGAGATACGTAGATTGGTCTCATCAGAAACTGAAGTTATGTGTAGACGTTCTCAGCTCGCAATCCCATTCCATCCATATTGAGATTTCGTTTCACCTGCCGTGAAAGGCTTCGTTAGAGTGAACCATAAATCACTGATTGCCTCATAAAGATAGCAAAATTAGGTTACAAGAAGTATAATTATAAATATAGTCGGCTACAATTCGGGACTAGGGGTTTGGTGCCTTTATGAATTAAAAATGGTTTTGTGATATGCTGATGACTGTTTCGGTATAAAAGGAGAAAATTCATGACGAATTTATCTAATCCGTAGTACACTGCAGCAGGGACTCTTTAGCCCAAATTAATTGTTACAACTGGAAGGAAATGCCCATGAACACAATGGACCCCAGACTAGGTGCGTTCCAATAAGTCTTCCTACCAATATGACGATGTTGCGAAAACAAGGTCAAACAACCTATATAAAACGAAAGGAGACTGCGACCACACAAAAGGCCACACCATCTTGGTCTTCATACCTTCGACTTAAAGTCATTTAGGACATCCTTCGAAATCCGCTTATCATCGTACTTTTTTCACTTCCAACTTGCTTATTTTAATACATATAACCTCATGATTGGTTGCCTAAATAAAACATGCAATTAAAATTTTGGAATATTTTACGTCAGCCAGCATTAGATAACTGGCTTAATTCCCGTACCATTATATGGAGCTCAAAATAGACACTAATACCACCGAATTTCGCTCTAACCCTCTTTTGTAATATAGAGTCCGCTTTCCTACTGGCCAATGCGAGGGTAGTGAACTATCCGATCGTGTACGTAAACGACACCTTTACTCGACTGACCGGCTTCTCCAGAAGTGAGGTGATGCAGCAGAGTGCGCTGTGTCCCTTCCTTCACGGCGATCGCACTTCTCAGGACGCCGTGTCCCGCCTGCGAACAGCTCTTGAAGATACGAAGTTGGAGCAGGTTGAATTGACTTTGTACAGAAAGTCGAGTAAGTCAATCTGTTTTTGCCCAACTTTTCTAAACATGTAAGTGTTAGGCTCACTCTATTGTAGTGAAATTTGGTTTGATAAACTTGCATATTTCATTCTTACCAGAAGCTTACGTCAGCTTTCCATTGATCAACTGTCGTTTGTTCTGGTTTACTTAATGTCCAAAACGATCACCTTTGATTCTGGTGAAATCGTTCTGATCCTTCATCAAGCATGTTATATATAAGGCATCCTCGAAGCTTGATATCAGTCTTAGGATGAATTGAAGCTAAAGATTTAAGAAAAGTCACTGGTTTAATTTTAAATAACGTAGATATACTCAAAATTAATGATGTTTTAAATAATGTCACATTACAACGTAAATGTATGCTCCTATGCATGCTTGCTTGTATGTACGTGCGTTCATGTATGTACATAGATAGGTGTAAGTAATTAGAAAGCCGCATGACATCTTTGCTCAATCATCATGGTTTAATGACCTTTATTAACCATCTCTCCGATTGCATAATGCCGACGATCACTTGTCTGCCTAGGCTAATGAACGTTTTCTATGAACTCAGGCGAATATAAAATATGACCTTAATCATAACCTTAACACTAAAAGGCTAGTTAAGTCTCCTCATTTTTCTAGGCGGCTCTTAATAACCTCTCTATTCATAGGGCTATCAATTAAGCACAAGTAGGCTTTACTTAACTTTCTACCCGTATTCCTGATATTCACTGTATTTTATAGGCTGTTTATTTCGATATTCTATCTAAGTTTGCGTTCGAACACTTGGCTAAGTTGAGTATTGAAATATTTTTCGTATTTGAGTAGAGTTTCGAGATTACCAGTAAATCAGTAATATGAGATGTATTTACCCTATTTCGTTTAAGGTGATGAAGGACTGATAGTAGAATTTTCCCACAATGATATCAGTAGAGCTGAAA